ATTTCTGTCCTCCGAATTCATATTCATTATATAAATAGGCCCGTTTAATTTTGTCTGGCTTGCCGTTCCAAATAAAATGGATAATTTTTTCTCATATAATTTAAAAAACTGTTCGCTAGGTGTAGGCAAGACCATAAGCAAATAGGTAAACTGGGATAATACTAAAGAGTTAATCAGGGTGATATTTACACAAATTGACAGGTATTTACCTTTCCATGATAGCAAGATCTTATCTATGTTTGCTAACTTTCTATTAAAATGTATTGGAGTGAGATCATTTATTTCATTTGGGATATGTATTTCGAGTATATCCACATCACCATCAGACCATTTTATTGGTAAACTACATGGTAATGTACATTTTTTATTTTTTAGTGTCCAATACGTAATATAGTACATTTATCATAATTTGGTTGTAATCCAGAGAGGTTAGAAAATGTATCTAGATCCTCTAAGAGGCTGTGGAGGGATTCAAGCTGTGGATTTAAAAGAAAACATGAATCATCAGCGTACAATGACACCTTTGTTTTTAAGCCCTGGATTTCTAATCCCTTGATATTATTGTTGAATCTGATTTTAATAGCTAACATCTCGATGGCCATAATAAATAGATATGCCGCTAGTGGACAACCTTGTTTCACTCCTCTTGACAGTTTAAAACTTTCTGAGAAATAGCCATTATTTACTATTTTACACCTAGGGTTACTATACATGATTTTAACCCAATTTATAAGAGATTCTCCAAAATTGAAATGCTCCAGGCATTTATATATAAACCCCAGTCGTACTTTATCAAATGCCTTTTCGAAGTCTGCTATGAATAGCAGGCCTGGTTTCCCAGATTTTGCATAGTGTTCTATTGTTTCCAGTACTTGCCTTATATTATATCCAATGTATCGTCCATGTAAAAAAGTTTAGAATGAATAATGTCTGACAAAACCTTTTTAAATCTATGCGCTATACATTTTGCTAGAATTTTTGCGTGTAAGGGGCCTCCCATTTTTTTACTGGACTGGATCTTTATATTTTCCACTTACAGTTTTTATTGCTATCTATCTGTTCTGTTAGACCTTCTATTTCCTTTGTTAGTATGGACTCTCTTGACCTAAATTGCTTTTGTTTTCGAGATGAGTACTGAATTGCATGGCCTCTAAAGGCACATTTAAAGGTGTCCCATACAATAAGGGGATTTGCTGTGCCTATGTTATGTCGGAAAAAAATCAGTTATAAATTCCTCTGTCCTAGTTAAAAACAAGTTATCATCCAATAGGCTTTGATTAAATTTCCAATAGCCTCGCCCACGTGGAAATTCAGTAAGAGTAATGTATATGCCAATGATATGATGGTCTGACCGCATTCTGTGCCCTATCACCACTTTTTTAACTTTTGGTGCCAACGAGAATGACATAAGAAAGAAGTCAAAATGACTAGCTTGATTGTGTCTCCGCCATGTACAGTGGGGAAAAAAAGTATTTAGTCAGCCACCAATTGTGCAAGTTCTCCCACTTAAAAAGATGAGAGAGGCCTGTAATTTTCATCATAGGTACACGTCAACTATGACAGACAAATTGAGAAAAATAAATCTAGAAAATCACATTGTAGGATTTTTTATGAATTTATTTGCAAATTATGGTGGAAAATAAGTATTTGGTCACCTACAAACAAGCAAGATTTCTGACTCTCACAGACCTGTAACTTCTTCTTTAAGAGGCTCCTCTGTCCTCCACTCGTTACCTGTATTAATGGCACCTGTTTGAACTTGTTATCAGTATAAAAGACACCTGTCCACAACCTCAAACAGTCACACTCCAAACTCCACTATGGCCAAGACCCAAGAGCTGTCAAAGGACACCAGAAACAAAATTGTAGACCTGCACCAGGCTGGGAAGACTGAATCTGCAATAGGTAAGCAGATTGGTTTGAAGAAATCAACTGTGGGAGCAATTATTAGGAAATGGAAGACATACAAGACCACTGATAATCTCCCTCGATCTGGGGCTCCACGCAAGATCTCACCCTGTGGGGTCAAAATGATCACAAGAACGGTGAGCAAAAATCCCAGAACCACACGGGGGGACCTAGTGAATGACCTGCAGAGAGCAGGGACCAAAGTAACAAAGCCTACCATCAGTAACACACTACGCCGCCAGGGACTAAAATCCTGCAGTGCCAGACGTGTCCCCCTGCTTAAGCCAGTACATGTCCAGGCCCGTCTGAAGTTTGCTAGAGTGCATTGGGTGATCCAGAAGAGGATTGGGAGAATGTCATATGTTCAGATGAAACCAAAATATAACTTTTTGGTAAAAACTCAACTCGTCGTGTTTGGAGGACAAAGAATGCTGAGTTGCATCCAAAGAACACCATACTTACTGTGAAGCATGGGGGTGGAAACATCATGCTTTGGGGCTTTTTTTCTGCAAAGGGACCAGGACGACTGATCCGTGTAAAGGAAAGAATGAATGGGGCCATGTATCGTGAGATTTTGAGTGAAAACCTCCTTCCATCAGCAAGGGCATTGAAGATGAAACGTGGCTGGGTCTTTCAGCATGACAATGATCCCAAACACACCGCCCGGGCAACGAAGGAGTGGCTTCGTAAGAAGCATTTCAAGGTCCTGGAGTGGCCTAGCCAGTCTCCAGATCTCAACCCCATAGACAATCTTTGGAGGGAGTTGAAAGTCTGTGTTGCCCAGCGACAGCCCCAAAACATCACTGCTCTAGAGGAGATCTGCATGGAGGAATGGGCCAAAATACCAGCAACAGTGTGTGAAAACCTTGTGAAGACTTACAGAAAACGTTTGACCTGTGTCATTGCCAACAAAGGGTATATAACAAAGTATTGAGAAACGTTTGTTATTGACCAAATACTTATTTTCCACCATAATCTGCAAATAAATTCATTAAAAATCCTACAATGTGATATTCTGGATTTTTCTTTCTCATTTTGTCTGTCATAGTTGACGTGTACCTATGATGAAAATTACAGGCCTCTCTCATCTTTTTAAGTGGGAGAACTTGCACAATTGGTGGCTGACTAAATACTTTTTTTCCCCACTGTATATCTCACTAGATCAGAATATTTAAGCCTCCATATATCTACTAGTTCTAATGTATCCATGACATTCACAATTTCCTTAAGCGCATGAGGGGGATTGTTTGTAGTGTGATTTCCTTTACGGTCCATTGAGCTATTTAAAACGGTATTATAATCTCCCACCATAATAATAGAGTCTTGAATCGCTTGCAGGGTTGATCATTTATTATATATATTGTCAAAGAAGTGTGGATCATCATTATTTTGTCCGTAAAGGTTAATGAGCCGTATCTGTTTATTGTCCAATAACATATTTTTAAAATCCATCAACCTTGCGTATCTGTTTGGACAATTTGCACATTCGGATCAAAATTACTGTTAATTAATATCATCATCCCTTTTGAGTTTCTTTGCCCATGGGAGAAGTATGTTTGCCCCCCCCATTCCTTTTTCCACGTAACTTCATCTAGAATTGTTGAATGAGTTTCCTATAAACAATATATATTATATTCCTTCTATTTGAGCCATGTAAATATTGTTCTTCTTTTGTTATTATCTGCTAAGCCATTACAATTCTAACTGGCTATACTTATTTCACCACATACCATAATGAGATGTAAGTGCTGTTATTGTGAAGTGGAAACATCTAGGAGCAACAAAGATTGAGAAAAAAATTTAGCTGTTTCATTTTATTTAATTTTTAATTTTATTTACTTTTCTCAGAGCAGCATCTCTGTTACAATCATTAGTGGTCACACAAACAAGGTCAGATGTGAAACACCTGGGAATAAAAATAACTTCCTGAAGTTTCCAGCTGCCTCCAAAATGGCACAGTATTCCCCATTCCTTACATAGTTCACATCCAGTGCCACATACGTATAATATTAGCTACATGTGGCTCTGTCTAAAAGTGGACTATGTAGTCAATAGGGTGCAATTTCAGATTAGCTCTCCTCTGTTAACTTGATGGTTCCTGATGCTTCTATTGGGGACAGACACACAGAACACTGTAGACATGGGGAGGATAGTCAAAAAGGCTGTCTTGTAGCCTGCCAATGCTACAATATCCAACAGAAACTCTCAAAACAGGAAGAAAGGGACCAGAAGTATGGCCATAGGAACCATTGTGAACGGCCATAGTGACCATTGTGAAGTTTAAGTTCAATGCTACAACATTCAACAATAAAGTTAACTTTACAATAACACTTAAAGGGGAAATATGTAATATTTTTGCATTGTAATTTCAGAAAATGTCCTTAATATATCTGCGGTAATAGTGGAATGTTTCACAATATTTTTTCAAAAATAAATTAATTGGGGCCCACACAAAGTTGCGTTATGATGGTGCAGCCTTCCTATTTGACAACAAAAGCTGGTCCATCTCTTGTTGTCAAATTGGAAGGCTGCACCCTCCCTTTCTTCCATCAGTGTCACTCAGAGGCGTGGTTATCCCCTCACAAGCACAATTAACAATGGCAGAAATGGTGTACAAAACTGAAAGTAAAATATACTCTGAAATTGACTTGCCATTTCCTGGTTGCTAAAATTCTACAAGTGTTGTAGAAGTGCAAATGTTGTTGCAATTCACCTAGTTCCCATTCTACATGATGTTCCTTTAACTTCAAGCCAAGAAACACAATGCTTTACAACTTTTTATAAACATGTATGAGCCCTTATAATACCTTATTACAATGATTATAATATGCGATGTGTCTTATGACTGCTTCATAATACATTTTGTCTGTTGACTTCAAGTAAAGTGTTACTTTGTTAATGATGTGGCGAGGACAAGGCTATGATCTAGTAGTGTGTGCTAGAATGACAGTGAAGAAACACAGTTGATTAACTCACACCACATCCATTTGTGACCCTTTAACACACACAGACACACACACACAGTGTTAACCCTTTGATGGGTACGGACCCATGTTCAGCCTTGTTCAAACAGACCATGTTCCAATACTTTGTTAACAGGAGCTTGTCAGCTCATTCTCAGACTGTCTTTCCAGTGCCGCAGTTCCCAACTTCCCCACCAAGGGAGCTCCACTCTTATCATCCGGAAGGCTCTGTAGCAGGTCAGACCTTACACTCTGCCTGCCCTCCTCTCCTGTCTCCCCACACGAAGGTGAGTCTGGTTGGGCAGAGCAGCAGATCAGCACCTGGAGCTGGCGGAGCTCGCGTCTGAAGGAGCGTCTGAAGATGTAGTAGATCAAAGGGTTATAGGCCGTGGAGCCCTTAGCGAACAGGCAGGGCAGCAGGGAGACCACGGGGGCCAGGCTGTCCTTCCCCTTGGTGTGGAACATACTCCAAAAGCTGAGCACCACGTAGGGAGACCAGGCCACGATGAACCCAGAGCTGATCAACACTGCCATCTGAAGTGAAGAGGAGAGGAGAGGGGGAGGAGAGAAGGGGGAGGGGAGGGGAGGCATTTGTCTGTCAAAAACATAACATAGACTATGTTTACAGCCATGTCAAACTTCTTAAGCCTGAGGTAGCCAGATTTGACAGGGACTAAAGCGTTTCTCATAGATCTAGACTTGTACGCTTTGTCACTGTCACTCATGAGCTTTGCTTGAGCCCCATGTCTGAAAGACCCTAAGTAGTGGAACCAGCGTGAAACAGGGTTTTCCCTGGATAAATCTTATCTTCCAGAATGTCAGCAAAACTGGTACTGTTTTGATATCTAACCAGAATTATATAATTCATCCCTCGTAAACAAACAAACAACGCAAAAACAAAGTAATATCTTTCCAGGTGGGATAGCTAGCGAGTGGATAAATCATTATTGTGAAGCTGTGAGTCAGAGAGAAAGAGAGTTGTGAATCTGTCTTTGTTAATTTATTACGCCTCCCTGCTCTGTGTATGCACAACATTACAGAGATATACAAAATAAAACTCTCCACCTGACTCCCTTCTGGACGGGAGTTGGGTGAGGCTATCGCCAGCTGGAGATGGATCTCGCTCTAATATCATTCATTATCTGTCTGTTTGCATCGCAGCAGAGCGGCAAACTAAACTGGGCCTAACCACTGGGCATGAATTAAAGAACAAAGTGAATGTGAAAGATGTATTCAGCTACACTTGAAGGAACATTTTAAATTCAATAAAAACGTTTTTTTCTTGATTCAAAATGATTCATTTTGTCGTTAAAAAGCATTCCACATTGCATGAATAAACAAACTAAACACTCTTGATACGACTCACACTGTGGAGTGTGGATGCACACACTACACACTCACAATGTTGTCGCGTGGGAATGTTTCATGCCACTGTGGGACCAACAGATGTGTGACAGAATTGTGACAGATTTGTACAGTGTGAAGCATCAGAGAGGTGACCGGGAGGTGGCCCGGTATGCTCTGTCAAACACTATATAATTATCAGAGGGACACACAGAGACACTGGTAAACTCTATTCTTTCTCTTTCTCTGCTCTCCTCTCACTCTCTCCTCTCTCACATCTTCTCCTCCTCTCTCTCCATCTCCCTTCTCATCTAATCCTCTTCTCGCTCTCCCCTCTATCTATCCTTTTCTCATCCTCAACGTTCTCCTCTCTGTGTTCCATAAATGAGCATAAATGGTAATAAAAATTGTCAAAGTACATGTCCAAGAAGAATGTGACAACTAGCATTGATGTCCATAAGAATAGTAAACTTACATATCCTTGTTCTATAAGCAGCTATAATTATAATAACACCACGTACGATAAAGCTACTGAATGCTCCTCTTCTCCATTTCATCAACAAAACAAAAACCATAAAGGTGCTGGGGAGAACAGTGGCACTGTTTCACCCTATGTGGATTCCAGCTTTAAAGAAAAAACTTTAATTAAACGGTTAATAAACAGTCAACAGATAAACGTTCATACTCACCAGAGTGACCTTCCTCTCGATGTGTCCGTAGTTGAAGTCCCTGCTTTGGATGGCCTGGTAGGCCTTGTGGAGTTTCCAGGCTATGCCGAAATAGGAGAAGAGGATGACGAGGCAGGGGATGAAGGTGCAGAGGATAGACAGAGACATGATGAAGGTGGAGCGGTTCAGGGAGTCTTGGTAGCTGGCCCAGTCCACGGAGCAGGCCACCCCGAAGGGCTCCGGCCCGTAGCCGCCCCAGCCCAGTAGAGGGAACACAGCCCACAGCCCAGAGTACAGCCAGATCACACTGATCACCATGGTGATGGTCCGACGCTGGAACTTGTTGCCTGGTGGAGAGGTAGATGGGGGAGAGGTAGAGAAGGGTTGGAAGAGCGTTAGAGGAGTGTAGTGTAAGCTAGCACCAACCCACCAACCCTAAACCTGAGCATAAACCTACCCTAACCCTTACCATAATCCTATCCCTAAACCAAAGCTTAACTAAGCCAAAGTTTAACCCTAGCCAGATCACACTGATCACCATCATTATGCTATGATGCTGGAACTTATTACCTGTAGGAGAGTTAGAGAGGAGTGTACATTAAGGAGAGTTAAAGCACTGTAAGGACCCTAGTTGATAGGCACCTTACAATCTCTCCCAATGGGTATATTCTTATTAACTGTGGTTAGAGCTTCTTTGGGCCAGGCGTCCTGGGGGTTCGTAGCCTGCTAGGAACCTCTTGCTATTCCCTCACTTCATTAGAGTAATGATCCATAAGGACCCACACTTATACTGTACTAAACATCCTGATTTACTTATTCACATTCATCAGAAGCACTAATGATTCATTGGTATTGACTAGCTGTCAGTGACTACCTCAGCTGCCATCTGACCCACCATGGCTGCATTTGGAACCAACCCTTGCAGGGACTACCACAGAATTAGAATCTGAATCCTTAGAATATGTCTTTTTTTGAGCCAACAGTTTGGAACCGACTGTAATGAGCACATTAGATAGATATGGAGATAGATATGATGGTGAATAGAATGAATACATTAATGAATAAACCAATTAATATTATGGTGGCTGATCTAGCTGATAAAAAAATGTGCTTGACTAGTAGCCTATGCGAATTAGTAACCGAAAGCAGGGGTACAGAGGTATCAATACAATATAGCATTGAATGTGTAGGCGTGGGTGTGGTGTGCATTGTATGTGGTGTCCCACAGTCCGAAAGTCGCGTAGCGCCACCCAAGGAACATGTCATTCAAACGCCTCTGTGTCACACTATTCCATGGTTACCTTATATAGATTGGCTTAATCATTAAGGATTTACTCGTGTTGTTTAGTGAAAACCAATAATAACACCCACCTTAATAACTTAACTATCAGGTGTTTTTACATGTTGTTGGCAGGGTTACATGCATTAGACCCTGAGCAATTCCTAGTTGTATCAGAACAACTCACCTGAACCCTACCTGTAGCTAGACCATCGACCTTCAGAACTATCCCAAAACTTCCTGCATTATCTAATCAAGTATGGTAATCCTAGCAGATCAACTGATTCATCATGCACAGATCGGGTTACCTTGTCCGAGCCTGCCCTTTGCGAGTCCTAAGGACCTTTAATGATTAAGTGGGAGCAAGTATTGGCACCCTTCAGGTCTTCCAATGTAATCTAAGCATTGAAGGTCTGTTTTTGCATAGGAACTAACTGAGGCGGTCTAAAACAATCAGAACCACTTGCATTTTTCATTATTAATTGCATCATTGACCCACATAATTGTACATAAAATCATATTAATATTCACATCCTGGCTACGAACCTATATTTGGAGGGGATAGTTCCATATTCCTATTTCTTGGCCAATGGTTGCATTGGGAACCAGCTGCAGGTCGGTTCTATTGGAACCATATTAAGGCATTTTTCCCATTTTGTGGAATGTTGGAACACTGTTAATGTAAGTAACCTGATGAAAATGCATGTGGGTCACAGAGTGTTACATCTAATATAATAATATTATATGCCATTGAATGTGTGTAGGCACGTGCGTGTGTGTGTGTGTGTGTGTGGATGTGTATATGTGTGTGTGCCCTATGGTGTCCTGGTAAAGATCAGCTAGGTCGGATGTATCTACCCACTGAACATTGATCTGCTATTCAACAGACGACCTTCTGGTGTGCTGCCATCAAACTATTCAACATGGGTTTTACCTTATAATAAGAATTGCTTAAAATTCCAATTCTATAGGCATTTCTACCTCCTGCTGTTAGTTTAGATTATGAGATATAAAACCAATAATAATGCACCCAGAACCTTAAGTAAGCTTAGAATAACTGATTTCAGTGTCTTTTTTTCATTTAGTTTATCTGCAACGGGATTATCATGCATAAACCGTTCTTGTCACGCCAATTCCTATTGTGTACATTATGAACAAACGTTTCAGCTGAATAGCCTTCCTCTTCAGTATGCAGGACACATACAGACAGATGTCCAGAACTGGGACTGTCAAACACTTCCTGGCGATTCTCCATGCATTTAGTCAGGCGTATATTACAGTAGCATTACACTGTATGTCAGGCATGTGCACAGATAGGGGTTTACCTGTGTCCGAGCACCTGCCCCTTTGCCCTCCCACTCGCCAAGTGTCCTTTTAGGTGATGGTATACAGTGGGGAGAACAAGTATTTGATACACTGCCGATTTTGCAGGTTTTCCTACTTACAAAGCATGTAGAGGTCTGTCATTTTTATCATAGGTACACTTCAACTGTGAGAGACGGAATCTAAAACAAAAATCCAGAAAATCACATTGTATGATTTTTAAGTAATTAATTTGCATTTTATTGCATGACATAAGTATTTGATACATCAGAAAAGCAGAACTTAATATTGTCACACCCTGGCTCTGGGACTCTATATGTTGAGCCAGGGTGTGGATAGTCTATATGTTGTATTTCTGTGTTGGCCAGAGTGGTTCCCAATCAGAGGCAACGAGTGTCAGCTGTGGCGGGTTGTCTCTGATTGGGAGCCATATTTATAGAGGCTATTTTCCCACAAATGTTGTGGGATCTTGTTTCAAGTCTGTTTATGTTCGACCGTGAACTGTCACGCATCGTTTGTAGTTTTGATCGTGTCTCGAATTAAAGAGTATGTTTGCCTGCAACGCTGCGCCTTGGTCCTCATCTTTGGTAGACGATCGTGACAAATATTTGGTACAGAAACCTTTGTTTGCAATTTCAGAGATCATACGTTTCCTGTAGGTCTTGACCAGGTTTGCACAAACTGCAGCAGGGATTTTGGCCCACTCCTACATACAGACCTTCTCCAGATCCTTCAGGTTTCGGGGCTGTCGCTGGGCAATAAGGACTTTCAGCTCCCTCCAAAGATTTTCTATTGGGTTCAGGTCTGGAGACTTGCTAGGCCACTCCAGGACCTTGAGATGCTTCTTACGGATCCACTCCTTAGTTGCCCTGGCTGTGTGTTTCGGGTCGTTGTCATGCTGGAAGACCCAGCCACGACCCATCTTCAATGCTCTTACTGAGGGAAGGAGGTTGTTGGCCAAGATCTCGTGATACATGGCCCTATCCATCCTCCCCTCAATACGGTGCGGTCGTCCTGTCCCCTTTGCAGAAAAGCATCCCCAAAGAATGATGTTTCCACCTCCATGCTTCACGGTTGGGATGGTGTTCTTGGGGTTGTACTCATCCTTCTTCCTCCTCCAAACACGGTGAGTGGAGTTTAGACCAAAAAGCTCTATTTTTGTCTCATCAGACCACATGACCTTCTCCCATTCCTCCTCTGGATCATCCAGATGGTCATTGGCAAACTTCAGATGGGCCTGGACATGCGCTGGCTTGAGCAGGGGGACCTTGCGTGCGCTGCAGGATTTTAATCAATGACGGCGTAGTGTGTTACTAATGGTTTTCTTTGAGACTGTGGTCCCAGCTCTCTTTAGGTCAATGACCAGGTCCTGCCGTGTAGTTCTGGGCTGATCCCTCACCTTCCTCATGATCATTGATGCCCCACGAGGTGAGATCTTGCATGGAGCCCCAGACCGAGGGTGATTGACCGTCATATTGAACTTCTTCCATTTTCTAATACTTGCGCCAACAGTTGTTGCCTTCTCACCAAGCTGCTTGCCTATTGTCCTGTAGCCCATCCCAGCCTTGTGCAGGTCTACAATTTTATCCCTGATGTCCTTACACAGCTCTCTGGTCTTGGCCATTGTGGAGAGGTTGGAGTCTGTTTGATTGAGTGTGTGGACAGGTGTCTTTTATACAGGTAATGAGTGGAGAACAGGAGGGCTTCTTAAAGAAAAACTAACAGGTCTGTGAGAGCTGGAATTCTTACTGGTTGGTATGTCATGCAATAAAATGCAAATTAATTACTTAAAAATCATACAATGTGATTTTTTGGATTTTTGTTTTAGATTCCATCTCTCACAGTTGAAGTGTACCTATGATAAAAATTACAGACCTCTACATGCTTTGTAAGTAGGAAAACCTGCAAAATCAGCAGTGTATCAAATACTTGTTCTCCCCGCTGTAATTATATATTTTTGTACACCGTTTTTGTCATTGTTGTTCTGAACACACTGCCCACAAGTCATTGTGACGTCGTCAGGTTCGACACCCTCCACCCCCTGCAGCATAAAACTTGATTTACATAATCGTCAATATTTGGTCTGGTTGGCTAATAGCAGAGTGAGGCAGAAAGACATAGAGAGGAGCAGCTGCATCTACTACCCTCTGACACAACTCCATCCCTTCTACAGTTAGGAGTTGCACATGTGTGTCAGGGCAGCAGCAACACCGGTAGTCAAGACTCTAGCTAGCCACATATACTAAAATATAAGCTAATAGCCAGCCAGACATATATCATGAGTTAGAAGATTATTAATTGTATATATTTAAGAGGATTGAAGATTAATCACAATCAGTAATACAAATGCAGGTGGGTGCCCTTTTAATGATCATCATCTAGTAAATGGAACTGTGTTTTATTTATTTATTGCAGCTCACTTGCTGTTGTTAACTAGCTATCTCTGAAAATAATGCATTATGTGTGTGAAACATTGTTGCAGTTAAACTTTTAGATCACTGGTTATTTTGTGTGCTGAACTTGAAAAATATGTTTGCAATGGGAAGTGATAGTTATACATTTCGATTGGGAAATGCTTAGCCTAATGGTTGTGTTTTTGTATTCTTACGATTGGGACCTACTGGCTTATTATGGCTGAGTGAATGGGCTGCTTATTCTTTAACATCATGCTGTGTGTGACTGCTGTCTTTCCATCAGCCCTATGTGTGTTACAACAAGTGTTCTCCCCTACTTGGGGTGTGTTGGTATTACGGTCACTGTCCTTTCAGCATCACAAGCATGTCACACTTGGTGATAGTGTGATAGTGATGGCGTTAGGTTGTGTAAGCAGTGTGGTTGTTGTTGCTGGTAGAATTATCCGTGCGGGTGCTGTCTCTGTATGAGTGAGTGATTGCCTGAACTATGGCTCAGCCTCAGGCCTGTTAGATTCAGTTGGGCGCATTGAGCAATGCTATGTTTCTGTTATTTTTCTTGAGTTTTGAGTTTGGTACAACATGTTGGAAGATTTTAATTTTCCCACTGAAGGCCTAGGTACAATAGACATGGTTTGCCACTGTACAGTATATACAGTTGAAGTCAGAAGTTTACATACACCTTAGCCAAATACATTTAAACTCAGTTTTTCACAATTCCTGACATTTAATCCTAGTAAAAACTCTCTGTCTTAGGTCAGTTAGGATCACCACTTTATTTGAAAAATGTGAAATGTCAGAATAATAGTAGAGAGAATTATTTATTTCAGCTTTTATTTCTTTCATCACATCCCAGTGGGTCAGAAGTTTACATTCACTCAATTA